TGAAATGATGTTTGGTTTTGAAACCTTTTTTCGGTTTTGTTTGTAATTTCAAGTTTGTAAACTGGCAAACCAAAATAAGTCCATACTTTGAAAAAAACCGTGACAACTTCATTTAGGTCATTTGGTGTCCACATTTTGTATTGAAAATGGGAATTAACTAAAGTAATGTCAATATTCATTAAATATATTAGTGTGTAAACATAGACCATTAAAAGTACCTAATGCAATTACATGAGTAAATAATACATAAAGAATGTTCTTGAGTTGGTAGTATTAAACTTTATTGTTAAATGGTACAATTGGAGTGACTTATTATACACAGTGTCCGGAAAGTCGCTCACCTCCGTGGCACTCTATCATCGAGCGATGCCTTAGACAACAAGAAAAATGTTTAAAAAAATCTATCTATAAAAATTTCTAAGTTATGAGAGTTTAAATTTTACACTTTGACTGTACAGGGTGCGCCAGAACTCGCGTCCCAGAGAAAAATTTCAACAGAAATAAACAGAGTCAAAGTGCAAAATATAAACTCTCATATCTTCTAAATTTTTATAGATTAAATTTCTTTAACATTTTTTTCATGTTTCTGGTTTTTTATAAAAACTGAGTTGTGTAAATCCGACTTTAAACATCCATTTGTTTTTTAGAGACATCTACCAAAAATGACAATTCTTAAAAAGTCGGGTTAGAACACTTCACATATAAAAAAATCTACTGCCCTGTCACATTTGTTGACACAATTTAGTTACTTCTGCTACCAACATAGTCATAGAGGTAGCGAGCTAAGAGCTGCCAACGTTGCAATAAATTAAATGGGCACTATGTTCTTGATATTATACTACAAGGGTACAAAAGTGTGACCATTCTGTTGTTCAATGTAAACGACTATCAAATTGAAAGAATTAAAAATACTCTTCGTTTTCTAAAAGTTACTACAGAGCATTTCAACGAAGTGTTTGGATGGCCTTTTCTTTTGATAATTGTATATACAAATTTACAGATTCTTAATTACCTTGATGACAGTTTTGAAAGTGGATTTTTGTATGAGAAAAATGAATATGATGAAGTCATTGTTTCTAATGTTTGTTTTTTAATTCTCACTACGGTAATTGTTTTTTTTTTTATAAATACACGAGATACCTATTTTTTTTAGGGCGGTACCGTTATTTTAATATGGTTGTGTGATTTGATTTTGGCACAAAAGTTACACCGAACAACTGTAATAAGAAATTATCAAATAGAAGAAATCATTTCAGATATTGTCACTAATTATCCAATTTTTTACGTGGGGAGGTTTGTAGTTATAAACAGATCAACTGCTTTTCACATTTTTAGCGTTATTTTTTCGTTTTTAATCGTGATGATTCAGTTTAAGGAAAGGTTACTTTTTAATACTCTGGGACTGTGTACTGAAAAAAAATCTATTGAAACCCAATAACATTTTATTCTTTATAAAATTTAACTACAAATTGGTTTCTAGGTGAGCACTGTATCCTAGATTTTGTAAAGCGACTTACTGACCTACCCTCGTATATCTTTAGAAGGGAGATTTTGGACTGAACTGAATCAAATAAATAACATAAGTTGTAATTCCTACAATCATCTGTTTTCAAAATTATGATTTAGCTCTTCTTTCTTGGCTCACCGAAAAAACTAATGAACAGTTTAGAGGAAACAACCCATAGACCATAAAAGATGGTGGTTCTAGATTGAATTTCAGGTAAACTAAATCAACCTGAAATATTAAAATTATTATAAAAACCCGAAAAAGTAAGAGTACCTTTTTATATAGATTTGTATCATTGATAAAGTTACTGAGATTTTTTTTCTGAAATTAATAATATATAGGGATTACCTTCTCTAGGATCGCAAAAACCGTTTATTTACCTTCTCTAAAATCATATGAAAATAATAAAACAGCATAAAGTCAAGTAATAGTGTTGTTATTTCCAAGAAAACATTATCTAGTATCATTAGGACTTCGTCGACAAAGGGTATTTTGTCCATATTTATAATATATGTCGAGTAAAACAAATTTATTGTGGCGATAGTAAAAGTTGTTGATATTTTTAACAACAAGAAACCTTGAAAACTTTTAAAAACTTTGCCAGCCAAGTCGTATAACTCCGTATACATTTTAAAGATATTTTCTGTTGTTTGATCATTAATTGAATTAATGAAATCGTTGTAAAATTTAAGTATTATTTTTGGCATAGCTAACAAGAAATATCCGAAAGGATAAGTAGAGAGTAAACCAAAATAGTACCCGCTTATGTAAATTTGAAACGAGGTACTTCCTATACCTAGATAATAAATATCAAAAATTATTGTCATAAAAGTAAAAAAAAAATGAAACATGACAAAACCCATGATCTGTTTCCCCAAGGTATGGTAATTCGTCTTTATTTTTCCAAACTGACGTACTTTTTCTTCCATCAAAAGCAAGTCGTTGAAAATAATCTCCAAGTCCTTTTTCTTCATTTGTGAATAGATTATATTTCCAATACTTTGGCCATGAATTATAAAATATTGAAAAAGAAGAGTATAGTTGTATAGGGTATTTTGTTGGGGGAAAAATACCAAAAAAAGGACAATACTCGTCAGAAGCATTGATAAAATTACAAGAAAATGAAATGATGTTTGGTTTTGAAACCTTTTTTCGGTTTTGTTTGTAATTTCAAGTTTGTAAACTGGCAAACCAAAATAAGTCCATACTTTGAAAAACACCGTGACAACTTCATTTAGGTCATTTGGTGTCCACATTTTGTATTGACAATGGGAATTAACTAAAGTAATGTCAATATTCATTAAATATATTAGTCTGTAAACATAGACCATTAAAAGTAATGCAATTACATGAGTAAATAATACATTAGGAATGTCCTTGAGTTGGTAATATTGAACTTTATTTTTAAATGGTACAATTGGAGTAACTTATTATACAGAGTGTCCGGAAAGTCGCGCACCTCCGTGACAATGTATCATCGGGCGATGCCCTAGACAGCAAGAAAAATGTTAAAAATAATATCTACAAAAATTTTGTTTAAATTTTGCACTTTGACTTTTTGATACAGACTATTAGAAGAGAAAACAATTAAGCTGTATCCTAAATTGTAACTCTGTTTAGTGTTAAAAGTACCTAACCATATTTTGATTTTTTGTTTTTTATAAAAATTGAGTTGTGTAAATCCGACTTTAAACATCTATTTGTATTTTAGGGACATATCTACCAAAAATGACAATTCTGAAAAAGTCTGGTTCAAACACTTCACATATAAAATCTACTGCGCCTGTCACATTTGTTGACACAATTTAGTTACTTCTGCTACCAACATAGACACAATCCAAACACTAGAGGTGGCGAGCTAAGAGCTGCCAGCATTGACCGCGACTTTAGACTGTTACATTGGGTAAAATTGAAATTAAAACACTTTCAAACTTCTATCAAACAAACTGGATCTTTTGATCTTTTATTTAACTTTCAATAATTCAACATAAATGTTTCTATTTAACTTGAGTTTATTTGTAATTACATAAAAAATTGGGAACAAATTTTTATTCAAGAAAAGGTGTGTTTCTGCAGCTTTATGCAACCTGTGAAAAAATATGTACTTGTAGCTGGATCTTCATCAGGCATCAAACACATCTTCATTGTTTTGTGGGGTTGGAGCACGGCGTTCAACCCCAGCGATATTCTTTTTCGTCACTTTTACTGATCCTGTAGTCCTTACTCTATCGATAAGTTGTAAAAACATATTTGATGTTGGATGTGTTCGTTTAGGAAATCGAACTGCATATTCTCTTGCAGCAGAATTTGCATTTCTTTCACACTCGCCGTAAATCACCAGCATTTCGCAAAATTCTTTATTCGAAAACATTTTGTAACAATAAGTAGCGTGAAGATGAGAAATTAATATTTGACGTAACCCACAGAAGACCTACTGGATTACCTACTAGATGATTAAGTAGAACGCTTACTTGATAGTTTCTAGTTTCTGTGGCGTCATCATCCAGCGAGACCAAGAACTAGTAAGGGCAACAATTTTTGAAGTTTTTTTTTTGTTTTAATTTATTATTTCTTATTAAAAATAAATCAAATACAAACTATTTGAATATGTGTTTTGCAATGTTTCAAACTTAATGTAAGAATCACATGCTTTTCTGAAATTTTTAAATAAAGAGGTTACATATGAATTTTATTTAATTATTGATGTTAACATAGTTTTCTAAATCTTTTTTTTGAGCAGACTGAAACAAATAGGTGACATGTGTTGCAATTCCTGCAATCATCTAATTTACAAATTTTTAATTAAAAGCATCTATTTTTCAACTTACTGAAAAAATTAACGTACAATTTAGTGGAAACAATCCATATACCATAAAAGATGGCGGTTCCTGGTTAAATCTTAAGTAAATTAAATTCAGCTGCAACAAATTATTATACTGAAAAGCTGACAAAAATCTTACTTACCTTTTTGCAATTGCAAAATCTGTTGTTTTTGCTTGAAATAATTTCACTGATAAGTTGTTTCTGAATGAAATATAATTTACAGTATCTTTAAATATATTTTTACATACCTGCTCCAATAAATTTTCAAAGTAGCGGAGCAATAAAAATTCGTTTATCCCAACTCTTATTATCCACAAGACATTAATAAGTGTTATGCATATTGTTCCAAATTGTGAAAACTGGCGAGTAGTTACTAAAGACATTGCAAAAAAAATGTCTAAAGTGGTTATTGTAAAAGTGGTAAATAGTTTCAATAAAAGAAATCCTTGTAAAGTTTTCACGATATTTACAGACAAACCGTACAGTTTTGCATAGACTCTCATTGTATTTTTCACAGACTGAAGATTAATCGAATTAATAAAGTCACTATATAGTTTGCAAACTATTTTTGGTATAAACAATAGGAACAATCCAAAATGGAAATTAGATAAATAACCGAAATAGTAACCCGCAATGAATATAAGATTTTTTTCATTATTTCTGTGGACGCAAATATCAAAAACAAATAAAATTACGATAATAATACTTTGCTGTGCCACATATTGTACTAGTTCTTTTCCCAGTTTTCGATAAATCAAATTTTGTCTACTAAAATAATTTAAGGTATTCTCCAATGAAAGTAAACTATTGAAAATGTCTTCAAACTCTTTTTTCTTTATATGAGAGTAAATTATAATTCCAATGGTTTGAACATAACTTATAAAATATTCATAGAAGTTGATATAACTCGCCAAGCTATTTTCGATTGGAAAAAATACAATATAAAGTAATAGACCAGTTTTAAGAATCAATAGATTTAAAATAAATATGTACGATTTCTGGTTATAAAAACTGCTTTTTGTTTTATTTATAATTTTGAGACTGTAGACTGGTAGTCCAAAATAATACCATATTTTGCAAAATACTACTAAAATTTCACTTATGTTATTTGGAGACCACATGTTTGTACTAAATATAGATAAGTAATAAACTTTATGACTGAAATGAAGTACATATTGGGTCATTAATAAATAGTGTCATAAAAAGTAAAACACTCAGTTATTAAATAACACAAACATTTGTTATTCAGACAATTAGATAAATAATTAATCATTGGCATTTTAAAATTAATTTTTGCTTGATAAGCAGTGTTTATTATTATTAGGATTCTAAACAATATTCACTTAGTATTTTAATATTTTCTTGGCGAATTTATTAAGTTATCTTATTTTACAAACTTTTAACTTGTAAAATTTAAATCGGTTCAATAAATTAAAAATTATTTATTCTGCTTGATTGTGTGTATTTATGTAATTCCTATTTTCTTCAAAGTTATGGAAAAAAATAACATGTTTCCTAAACACTAAAATGTGGACATCTACAGGGTGTCCCAGCGACTTGAAAAAGTCCAGTAGTGACTTTTAAATGGTAAAATAAAAAAAATGTACTAATCTATTCCATCGCCCAAAATTATTTTCAACTATACAGCGTGTCTCAAAAATAAGTTATAATACAAACTTGTGTTTTTTTAAATGAAACACCATATTTTTCTTAGCATTTTTGGATATAGATTTTTATGACCATGTTTTTAAGCTAAATATTCATTGATCGGGTTCAAAATAAAACGGTTTTTTGACGAAAACATGCACTTTTTAAAAATTTATTACACAAAAACTAAGAAATCTAGAAATATTTAAAAAATTGCTACAGTTTTAAATTTTATACTTTCTTCTTTGCAGAAAAGTAAGACTAAATTGTTCTAGCTGTCTTAGTTTTTGTGTAACAAATTTTTAAAAAATGCATGTTTTTGTCAAAAAAAACTTTTTATTTCTAAAGCTAAGCGAAATCGACTTCTAAAAGTTTAGCGTAAAAACATTGTTTTAAAAGGCTACATCCAAAAATGCCAAGAAACATACGGTGTTTCACAAGTTTGTATCGTAACTTATTTTTGGGACATGCTGTATGGTTGAAAATAATTTTAGGTGATGCACTAGATTAGTTTCTATCAATATCCTATACATTTTTTTAATTATACAATTTGAAGGTCATTAATGGACTTTTTCAACTCGCTGGAACAGCCTGTATAATCGTTCTTAGGTATTTCTTAAAATTTTGGCATTAATTATTATAATGTTTGTTGCAATTTGATCTAATTTATTTTAGATTCAAACATGAGCTTCCATAATAATTAAGGTAGGTTTCAATTCATTTAGTTTTTGGTTTGTTGAAGAGGGTCAGAAAAGTAAGTATTTAAGTAAATAATTTCATTAAAAAAGATCACAAATCACCTAGGGATATTGAATCATTGTTTTTTTTTATTTTATTGTGTTAACAATAACAGCATTATTTACTCTTAAATTTACTTTACTTAATTCAGTGTTTAATAAAAACACATATCACTACTTGTCTCATTGGAAAAAAAAGCCATGTTAATTTTCAACTTTATTTTGAAATATACCTAACCACAACAATGTAATACAACACATCTACTCTTACAAAATTAAAGTTCTATAATATGATACAGGGTCGTAACCAGCGCTAAATACAATATTTCTAATATGTATTTCAATATTATTGCCAACATTTGAAATTACTCCTCAGTCTGTATACAAACAAATCAAAACGAACCTATTTGTACCGTTAAAACCATTATTGTTTAAAATATTTTGATTTCGTCGAATTCATTATTAGATATGTATTTCTCTACTCTAGTAGAAAACATTTTGTTTATATACAGAATGATCGTATAATATTTGGATCGGGCTGATATACAAGTCATTATTAAAATTGGCCTTCACAAGCATTTTTTAAATAGCGTTTATTCGAAATTCTAGGATTATTAATTAACAAGAAGAGGGATTTTGAGGGGAAGGCTAAGAGGGCCGTAAACATCAATTTCATCATCTAGTTCTACCACCGACTTACACGAGATGAAAGCTCTTGCTTCGAACCGTTCGTTTGTACTCAAGGCAATTTTCCGAATTTTTCCCGAAACCAATATGATTATATACCTAGAGCAAATTGACTAATCTAATTGACTAAAATTTGAGCCCTCTTGAAAAAAATTTGAAAAATCGGTTTATAGCCTTGCGTCTTTTATTGATTTCTTTTTATCTTCAAATTTTTGTTTTCCCTTCATCTCCATGTGCTTCTCAGTGATTTCGTTCTTTTTGTTGTCGATCTTTTCTTCGTTTATGCTTCGATCAAGCCACCATTTTCGATCTTTCTTCACGTGCTGCTCGTCCACATCTTCTTGGGGGAGTTTCTCGTATTTGTTTCGGCTTTTTCCCAACAGTGGCACAGATTCCAGCTGAGTGACGATCTTCTGGGCACATCTAAAACAATAAAAAAATAAAAAAAAACGAAACAACAAGAAAATGGTCAATAAAACCAGTTTGTTTTTATTGTTATTTTATTACCTAATTATTAGTTAAATTAAGCTAACTTAAATAGAAAGATTATGTAGCAAGAAGCAAAAAATCGTCGTTTTAGGTTAGCTAGAAACTTAATTAAATTAACAAATAATTTGACAAAAAGAAGCCAAAAAACTAGGTTTTATTTTTATTTCAATCAGATTTGGGCGTTTAAGCACGTAGTGGAATCAGATTTTGCTGAAATAAATAAAAAAAAATCGTTTTAATTGAAAATAACGTTATTTCAGGTAATTTCAAGCGTTTTGGCCCTTTTGTGAAAAAGGCCAAAAAAACATCGTTTAAGTCATTGTGGTGCTATTTCATCATGGCCTAATGATTTTTAAATCCAAATTAAAAGTCATAATTTAACTATTATCTTTTTTAACCTCAATCAAGAGCGAGATCACACATTTTTGAAACGATGTTTGAAACATGCAAAAAAATCCATTTGTATGTGAATTTTGCTATTCCAGCCAACTCCCAGCAATTTATTAGCAAGTTTTTGAACTAGTTTTTGCTAAAACAAGATAAAAAATTGCGTTTTAATTTATAATATAATATATTAATCATATTTCAGCAAATTCTGAGTGATTTGGCTCGTTTTGACAAAATCTGAAAAAAAAAATGTTTTAAATCTGTGTTATGCTATTGCACACTTTCGAAACTGTGTTTGCAGAAACATGCCAAAAATCCGTTTTGTATCTAAATATTGCTATTTCAACTAATTTTGAGCGATTTATTCAATTTTTAACTAGATTTTGTTGAAACAAAAATTTAAAACATCATCGTTTTAGGTTTAGTTCATAATAATTCAGGGCCATTAATAATTACCACGTTTCTCAAATAGATATAGTCGAAATAATTTTAGCCAATTATGAGCGTTTTAGCACGTTTTTGAGCCAAATTTTGCCTAAACAAATCAAAAAATCACCGTTTTAACGCAATTTTAGCCAATTCCAAGTTATTTATTAGCAAATTTTTGCTAAAACAAGATCAAAAATTATCAATAGCCAAATTGTCGATAATTTTATCAAATACACGAACTGCACGAGACAAAATTTGCAGACTATTTCCCGAACAAAATTCGCAAAAACAATATTTTTATTATAAGAAAATAAAAAAAAATTGTCAAACAAATTTTTCAAATTTCTGAGATTCGTTCAATCAGATTCGCGGTAATTTAGCATACCGGCAAATTATCGATAACTTGCACACATGCTGAATTATCGCGTAATTTGAATCCGATTGGATGAATTTGAATAATTTTAAAAAAGATTTGATTGCCTTAAATATAGTGAGGGAAATAGTATAACTTATAATAATAATTTTAGTGAATTTTCAGCAAATTAACATGTTTTTAAAAAAGATTTTGCCAAAACCAGCCAAAAAACTGTTTTAAATTTACAGGCTGCACCAGAACTCGCACCCCAGAGAAAAAGTTTAAGTAAGATATGAAAAAATATTTAAAAAATTCAATTCGTTCAAAAATTTTTATATTTAACATTTTTTATGTTTTTATGTAAAGATCAATTTTTTTAACATTTTTTCCATATTCCTTGGTATCTCACTTTATTATATGGCATTTTTCTCTGGGGCGCGAGTTCTGGAGCCAATTATTGTCACGTTTTTAGGTATATTTTGTCAAAACATGTAAAAAAAATTGCCGTTTTAAGTCATAATAACGATTTTGCACTTTTTTTTTATCCAATCAGGTGAAAAAATTATGATTAAAATTGTGTAAAGTTAACAACTTAAAGATCTAATAATAGTTACGCGCTATTTCAGCCAGTTACGAGTGCTTTAGGACCTTTTTTACCTTTTGTCAAAACATCTTTGTGTCTCGAAGAGTTGTTTTGGCCAATACCGAGTGATTTTGCGGGTTTCTGAAGCCGAGACAGGCCCAAAAAATCTTTGTTTTATGTATGGATTACAACATTTTAGCAAATTCCGAGTCAAAAACTAACTTAAATATTTTTTGATTTTGGCGAAACAAATGTGGAACTAACCTTATCCTAGTGGAAGCCGGAGGCGTGTTATGACTGGGACTTTGTCCGGGCAATTCTCTTATGGGAGGAAGTCTGTTAATGTTTCCCTTTTCCGGATGGCAGTACTCCTGCAGTCTTATCTTCATGGCATGCTGTTGCGACCTCCTGATGGCTCCTGTGGCGGGCTGTCGCGGATAGGCCCCCATGCACCGGCCGCCGCAACATGACGAAGATTTCCTGCTACCGTCGGAAGAACAAGAAGTGGAAGAAACAGACGAGCCGCCGCTGCTGACACTGTACAAACTGTCGGATTGGGGAACCAAAGAGGATCGAGAATTCACCGAGTAACCGCTTGCCGAAGAAGGCAGGATGGGGCCCGTCTAGAACAACAATTAACAAATACAAAACATTAATTTTAACCAATTTGGTTACTTTTAATCTCAAAATTTTTGCTCTGCAGATGACACATCGCAACGGAAGGAGTCTCTGCGATACTGCGATTTGGATAGTCTTCACGAAGCATTTTCTGCAGACAACTTGGTGGCCACAAGGAGCAGTTTGCATGGTTGCTTTGGCATTAATGCAGATCACACACTGAAAAAATTTTAATTGTTTTGTGATTATTTAATTAGTGAGGGGAGATAAAAGAATTACCTCTTCTTCTTGGCAACTTGCCATTTCGGGTTCGTTCTCTTCCAGTTTGCTTAATAGCTTATCCTGAAACAATATAAGAGAATTAATGGATGGGAATTGTACTCGTTGTGTTGCTTTGTAACATGTAGTCTCAGAGGGTTTTACAAAACCCTGTAATTGTTTTATAATACCACTAAAATAAAAAATATACATTCAAACGCTTAAAATCCATTTGAGGAACTTCAACTAATTTATGTAATCTGAAATAATATTGTATTGATTATGTATTTAGGTATTTATTATGTACATATCTTTTAAGTGGCTACAAAACAACATGCAGGGTGTTTCACACAACTTTACGAGGCTTGCGCCTAATGTATGCACCCAAAATTCACAAAACATTAGATACAACAAATATACATTTAATTATTTTTGAGTTGTTTTTCAAACTCAATAAACTTCAACGACTAAAACTTGAAAATCGACTCATTTTCTTAAAAAAATTGATGATTTGGGAAAATCTGAGTTAGAAAAAAGGGGTTAAAAGTAAGGGTGAAAAATAGAAAAAAGACTAAGAAAACTAGGCATAATAATCTGAGTTAAAAAGGTACACATATTAGACTACTGGGGTATCACAGTTGAAATTTGGCAGCAAGTAAAAAATAATAAATAAACAATCTTTCATTACTGATTATGTAAAAATTTACTTTAATTGTTTGCAAAAATAACATTTAAATTTTTTTAAATAAAATTCCAGCTTCAATCCAACAGAAATCAATCGGTTTTGAAATATTTTCATATGAAAAAAATTTAATACATATTTCGATTTTTTAATTTTAGAACTTTGGACCACTCTGTATAGCAGGATTCGTGAGTTTCTTTTGCTTATATTACATTGATTGCCTTTAAATTTATTACAATATCAAAATTAAAACAACAAACAAAAAAAACGAAGATCAATTTTTAAAAATAAAAATCTTCTCTCTAGCTAAAATTATCATCCTACAAATCCAAAAACTTAATAACAAAAGTATATAAGAAAATAAGTCCTCACCGAATTCATAAGAAATACTGTTTTTAGATTAAAACGTAAACACCTTTTGTATTAATTGTATTATTGATTCACCCAAATAGTATAAAAGTTAATCGGGAACGAGGTGAGCAAATATATTAATTGTATTATTGATTCACCCAAATAGTATAAAAGTTAATCATAATGGTAATGCATTTTTATTTTTTTTTTTGATTTAATTAGAAGAAGTATATTTAATTTTATTAATTTGGTTTGAAAAAATGGTTACACACATAAGTAGTGCTACAGAATTCTTTTTTATTTACTTTATAAAGTACAAAAGGTTTCTTAATATGACTAACATTAGATACATTTTACAAAAATAAGACACTTTATTAATTAAAATTCATACATAATTATTGCATCTTCACTTTTTGATAGAGTTTTGTGGGATATAAATATATTACAAATGTAATAATACGCCAACATTATTATCAATGACATTCAACAATAAACAAAATTATAATAATTATCCAACTTGTGACACTTTACACTCAAACCAGGACATCAATGTAGTTATAATTTCACCGCTATTCTACATGAACAAATTTTACCTTGCGATGTTATTAATATAATTTCAGTGTGTTATTATAAAAAATGATGAAAGACCGCAAAAATTTCCAGTAATACATAAAACGGAGGCTTTTGATTACTTCCTTCGACTATGATTGATGGCAAGTAACAAAATAATGAAATATAGTTTAAAACCAATTAAGAACATCAAATGGAGTCCTTGAAGAGCCCATTTATGCATGAATCACTAAACAATTAAAAAAAAACAAATGAATTTTTTCATTAATTCAAAAATGCACCAGAGAAATACTTTCAAAATCATATTTCGCAATATTGAAAGCTAATGAAACACGAAACAAGCGCTTTGGTCATATTTGTCATGAAAATCCATTAATTGATGAATTTCCCTGGAGGTGGATTGATAATACTTAAACAAAAATATCGGTTTAAACCAAGACCAATAAAAATTTGTCAAACACGAACACTTAATTAAAAATAAAATAAATTAATCCTTTGTAATTACGTCAAAAACCGGAATTGCAATTAATGTAATAATATGTGATATGCAGGCGCAAGGTTTCATAAATGTGCATGGCAATGTCATTCTACTTAAAACTAATTGCAACTAATTACCTTCCGTGAAATCAAAAATAGTATTTTTTTCGCAAAATGCAAATACCCGCTTGTTTCAGATCAATTTAAATTCAAAATTGCACAAATGGGAGAATATTTACAGATAAACAAAATAAAAAATCCGGGCGTATGTAGATAAATAATTGATTATTTCTAAACTGGGAAAACGATTTAAAAAAAATATGATTCCATCTAAGAGAAATTAAATCTACCCAAATTGATTGCATTTGACTCAATCAAATTGAAATTTCTACTACAATGATCAATCACACAAATCAATGTGTGAGAAATTAGGTCTGAGTAAAAAGTTAAAAAAGTTTTCTTGAAACGATCCATTTTTACAATGTTTTGTTCTTTATCTTTGTACTTTTCTTGTTTAATTGCGATGAAATAAGACTGCATCTAGAATTCAGTAAAGAAAGGGAGTGTAATTAGAACGACTCGACTACGTGAACTAAGTTTGGAGGAGTTTCTGTGCAACGTAATTTCAGAACAAAGTTCAAGTTCTCCGGGAAGTTCTATACCGTAAAGTTTTTTTATTAAAGAGTAAATTAAATACTTTGAATACAAGTAGCAGTTGTGAAATAAATATCAATAGTAGAAAATATAATAAATCAACACAGTTCATTACAATACAAAAATAAAAATGGAGATAACTCAGTTTGTTTTACAACAGCTTAAACAATTCCAATTTACATTCATTAAAATTTCACAATATTGTTGCTGTTATTGATTTTTAACAGCTTTGAATTTTATAGCTGGTGAATTAATTATGGCATTATACAGCGTGACCAAGTCAATGTTGCTAACGTATTGAAAATTGAAAAAGAGCCTTTAATTTTTATAAGCTTTTATTTAACTTACAAAGTTGTCTTTCTGTCTGCGACTAAAATTTTTTAAAATTTTTGAGCCACTTCCTGTTGTCCGATTAAACTGAAATTTTCCATACACACGTAATTGCCGTGAAAATATGATTTTATTTACTACATGGAACCAAACGCCATTTGATAGCGCAAGAAAAAAACTAAGGAGTTGTTCAAAAATCAAAAAACTCAAAAATTAAGAAAATTAAAACTTAAATGATTTCACATAACATTACGACTAATTGCAGATTACTTTGCTCAGTTGACTGACACCCTCAAACATTTTTTTAACTTTTAAAATTTTAAGGTGTAAGCAAATGTTCTTCCCTGACAGAGAAAAATATTTTTTACTGTTTAGTAGTCGTAATAAAAGCTTATTTAAAAAAAAACATTTTTTTATATATTTTTTTAATTTTAATTTCATCTGTCGAGAGTACTTAATTATGAAAAATTAAATATGTTTACTGTTTTGTAAAAAAAACTTGAAATTATATTTGTAAGATTTTACTTTGTGGAATATCATTCAGATTTGAAAATTAAAATAAAATTTATATATCTTCACACGAAATCACCAGAAAACACCTAAAACTAATTGTTATTATGCAATTATAACAAAGTTAATCCCAAAATACACTCTTATGTATGACAATTTTTTCTATTCTTGTCATATTTTAATATTTTTTTATGCAATTATTAAAAATAAATAATAATGATCCGAATCGACTTGAATTATTGCAATAGAAAAAAGAGAAAAAATAATCCAATTTCAAGTTTATGTTCGTAATCTGCCCTAGTTTTTCTAATTCAGTTCAGATGAATACATTTATCCGGATTTAGCATTGATTTGTCTTAAATGAAGTGAGTTCATAAATAATTCCACGAGACCTCATTCGCACAATCCATGATCAATTAAAGATCAATGTAAACAAAAATGCGAACCTATTATTTGAGCAAAGGTAAACAGCACTAATCCAGGGCTGAACTTTCAAAAATCAATAAAACGAGTAAAATAGAAGGTTAACGCTCGGAATCCTCCTAGACCCCTGAAATCTATTTATAGTGCAATAATAAGTCCCTCAGGCATCAGCTTTAGATTAAAAACGAATTACTCGAAAATTAAATTCCAAATTTGTGAAGGTCGCCGAAGAGCCGCAAGAACCCAACAATGAAGAAGTATTGCGCAACTCAGTTATTTAATTCGCACTAGAGGTTGTCCTTAGCTGGTTAACATTGACATAGACTTGGTGCTCGTCAATTGTTCAATGTTACCGTTTAACCCTTCCACTGGATTGTAGAGTGAAGAACCGAAATGGCAGTGTAGCTTTCTAAATTTCATGGTAAAAGCGTCAACATTGAAACGGAAGGTAATATAATGATGATGGCGGCGCTATTTGGTGGAAACGTCGGAGTGATTTTGATGAGAATGTGTCCGAGAAACGGTCCGAAATAATTCAAAAATGAACGTCTTTACACAAGTTTTCGGAGTGGCGCTTAATTTTCTCATGATTCCCTTCAACCCCTCAGCACCGCCGATGCCATATATTGTCAGTGAGACCACGTGTAGGATTACCAATTTCAAATTTGGTGAGTTTCTTCAATCATAGGTTTCGTGAACTTAATTTAAACAACTAAACTACATTTCCGGTGAAACTATCAAATGAAGTTGACGTTTCCTTTTTGATTTCATCCAAAATTTTTTCATTTTTCTCAAAAGTGTAAACATGTATAAAAAAGTATTACGATTTATAAAAATGATAATTGGATATCTACCAATTTCTTAATTACTTAATTTATAAGAATTTCAAGGTTAGGCGCTGTGGGAAATGCATTGTCTCATTTCACCTTAATCGAATTATAATTTTACTATGCTGTTTTTGCTTGCTTTTCGCCAGTTTTATTTGCAAATTTAATTACACTCAAATACAAGGTGTTTACGGTCTTGATTTGATATTTAAATGAGATGATATTTATGGTAGAAGAAAACTAATACGCTATATAAAACAAAAATTCACGTTGTGAAAGGAAATAATTCATTTAATATTATTTGTTTGAGAACTGCTGCTTCGGCTGTAATAGTGGCCATTAGTATCATTACTTGTGTTTCACCGTAAATCATAATCACGACAACCAATTTATTATTTTAATATTTTATGATCATAAATTTGGAAAAAAATTAAGAAAAACGAATCAAACCTACTGAAAACCATTTCTCTAGAAGAGATTAAGTAGAAGATCTTTGAACTTTGATAAAAACCAAAGCAAAAGCAAATCAAATGATGATAGTATTAAAACTATGAGGTGACTTTTCTCTTTCATTGTCATGAATCCGATTTTTTTATTTGTTGTAACAATTTTATCTGAACTAGGAAATAATTCCAGTGACCCTCAAACTGTGTACCAATATTTTGGAGTTAAATAACATTCTTAATAATAACAAATGTGTGAGTTTTTTTCTCGGTTACAGTATGTTTCCACTCTTTTAAAATTTCTGCAAGCTTTTGACAGATAATTTTTAGGTTTAATTCGATTTCTTCTCTTATCCAATTATTTAAAAAAGAACAAACTCTGAACCTTAATAATAAGCCCCAATAAACTTTCCAGTAATTTAATTTATTTTATTACGACGGACTCTCTTTCAGGTTCTTTTTGTGAGCAGTGATTTTGTTGGTTGTAAAAGTAAACACAACTTTATCACTATCTCTAAGACGAGGAAACTCATGCCGCAGAATAATTTATTCCTTTCCCGCTATAAAACTCCAAGTTTTATTTTGTTGCGTTTGAAATCTCCCATAACTTATTTTTTATTAAACTGTACTCTATTTTGATTTTTGAAAAGTATTTTTTAATATTTTAATAAAAACTTTAAAAAACAAGACAAGGATAATTTGATTAAAAGAAAAGCACATTCCTGCATCAAAAAATCGAAGAATTTCGATTGCTTTACCGAAATGAAATTTTCAAATCCGGAAATTTTTCTCAAGGCGCATTTTCGTGTCGTTGGATCCGATTACGATTTTGATGACACAACTAATTAAATTCAGGCGTAAACATAGTAGGACTTTCCACCTGTTGAACTATTTCACCTTTGCCTTACTAACAAACTTTATCATTTCAAGGCTTTTATGTGGAAATTCAATAGTCATGAGTTGAATTTTCATAAATTAAAAATTTCACGAGAGGGTAACCATTTTCCAGACATTTGTTCAGAACGAGGGTTTGTACAAAAATCACGTCATGGAAATGTATCGATTCGGTTGTAAAAACAGGTTTTAAAAATTTTACAATAGATAATGCATTTACATAATAAAACAAACATCGAATGTGCGTAGCCTTGGTAGTAATCAAAACGGAAATAAATTTGAAATCGGTTATTCACTTTGACTGCATTTGATGAAATAGAATGGATTGCAAAATATGAGACATAATTTTACTTATTATTGTTCAAATGAGTCCCCTGATAAATATCCAAACAGGAAAAAATATTGCATATTAAAACAGAAAATTGTCTATTCATTTTTAACAATGTCGTATTACTACATAATTTAATATCTAGGTATTTATTTACAAAGAATACCAGTAATGGCCGATTAATGAGCTTAAAATGTGAAAGGTAATGGGTGGAAGTTATCCAAAACTGTTCAACACACTAGATACTGTAATTAACTTAAATCAACACCGGCGAAAATTTAATCACGTTTGAGCTAACTGATGAGCAAGTTCATGCTTTTTGTTGGCATCTCTTCTTTGAAATTTCAAAATTAAAAATAAATATGTACCTAATAATGTTTTCTTTTGATTGATTCAACCTGTGTTCACTCAGGGTGACGTATGTCAGAATTTCTCGGTAATTTTGAACTTTAAATGAGAAATAAAGTAGAAGAACATAGAAAAAAGATTTACTTCTTTAATCTACTTTTGGTCGTTTATAAATATTTAGAAGCAACTAATATATTTCCTTATCACAAATAATTACATAAAAGCATATGTTTCTGTAAAGTCTGTTTTTTTTAATGGAAATTACCAAGTCAAAATTGTGCTGAAAAAATTGGTAGCAGCTTGTCTCCATAGCCACAAATTTTGTTTACTCTTTGTTTTTGTCCCTAGAAATTTTGTTAAAACATTATGGTTATGTGTTCAAATTGAGATGTTGTCAAAATTTTGACTTTTATGAATCTTGTGTGCCCGTTTGCTCTTTGAAAGCGCTATAATTGAATACCTGAGGACAGACATCATAACCTAAGGTCTAAAGACAGAATTCAGTGCTATTAATTTTGACAGAAACACACCGCAAGTAAGTACACTGTTGTGGACAAAAATGAGATTCTTGCTACAAAAACTTTGAAGAATAAGGATGTATATGCAGAAAACAGTCATTTTGCAAAAGATACAAGTGGGTATTATAATGATTGGCAATAAATTTTGTGTAATTTATTGAAATGAGCTCAAAGTTGATGCAATTTATAAATTCTTCTTCAGCTTTTAACTCTCAAAATTGTTACTTTTTCAACTCGTTCCTCAAAAACGATGCACAAGACACTAATTTAATTGCGTTCTTTCCGAGGTTATTTCTCATTCATGTTTATTTTGTATTTTTGTTGATTTTTTGCTAAAAATTAAGAATATTTAGCAAACCTGCTTTACAAATTGCGTCTACATTTTAACGGGCGCTTTTTCTAACTTCCTGCTTGCGAACTATTCGTATCCAAATTTCGAAAAACTGTTAGTGTTCCGAATTTGTTTCTTTTTTGGTGTTTCGTCTCTAAATTTTCTTAGACGATTTTTTGTGTTGACGTTTAATCACATTGTTTTCAAATTAATTCAAAAAACCGGAACTGCCAACTTCCTTTATTAAAATTACCATGAATGAATTTACTAGTGATGCCAACGTTAAGACTGGCATTTCCATTAAAAAAAACAGATTTTATAAATTAATATATATATGCTTTATACTTGATTTTGGGTTCTTATGCTCACTCCTAATTTATTTTCAAAACTAGATATTAAAAAATGGAAGACATTTTTGATAAATTACTACCAAGCCCAATCCGAGTTAAAATTTAGGTCAGTGGTGATCGATCCACCGCCCCTGAAAACCGCCCCAATTGAAAATCTTTTTGACAGCAACAAACCCGATGAAATCGTTGTCGATTTTAGGTGAAAACGAGATGAAAGTGAGCCTCGCCCCTAGAGGCTACTGTCCAAACTGCTGTCCGGTAAAATCCAGAGTTGACATCCGCTTCGTGCTTTATACGAAATCTAGTCCTGATAAAGGGACTATTATCGCCCCATCACCAACGGCCGCACGCAGGGCCGGCATTGACCCGCTTGCACCCACCGTTATTTACATACACGGATTCACGGAACCTTCACCGGGGAAAAGTGGACGAGGCATCACCCATGGTACCAATAAAAATTTTAATACGAAATCAAAGTCTCAACACTAGTTTACAGCTTATCTCAGTCGAAAAGACAATTTCAACGTTATCCTCGTGGACTGGTCGGACTTGGCAACCTTTCCGTGGTATCTCCCAGCCGTCAGAAATGTGAAAATTGTAGCGGGAAAATTAAGGAAGTTTTTGGAAGTTTTCAATGACAGTGGAGAAATCCCTCTGAGAAATGTGCATTTGATTGGGTTCAGTTTGGGCTCACATATAGCCGGATTCGCCGGAAAACTGCTTCGGAGAGGGCTTCGAATTCCGAGAATTACGGCCCTGGATCCGGCGTTTCCGGAATACTCCCTCAATGGTAACGTAAAAATTACTACCATGTGTTCTAGTTGGCAACATTGAATAATGTAGGGACGGAAGAGAAGAAAAATATTAGACTTGTTAATGTTTGTACCACGTGCCTGACAAAAAAACTATTGGCAACACTGAATTATAGACTATTGTGATAGTAGGTTATGCCAGCGGCCGCCCCTCGGAAATGAATGACAAATGACTAAAAGAATGACGTTTATATTTGAACGTCATTGTTGCCAACGTAACATCTAAATCATAGGCCATTCAATTAAACGCATTATTATTTAAACTATTTGTATAAAATTCCAGACGACTCAAGACGCCTCACTCGCACCGACGCCGACTACATCGACGTCATCCACACCGACGCGGGCGTTTTGGGTTTGCCCATCTCGGTGGGCCATGCCGATTTTTACCCCAATGGGGGCCGAGCCCTTCAACCTGGCTGTCAGCCCAGTTATTTAGTTCAACTCCGACTAGTGGATCAGATATGTAATTCGTTTCATTTTTCAATTTCGTGTTTTACTTTGTATTTTTGTTTTCAGTTGCTTGCAGTCATGTAAGAGCCTGGAGACTGTACGCCGAATCCGTGATGCATCCTGAAGCATTTCCGGCAACGAAATGCCAAATTTGGCGCGGGCCCAACCGGAAGTGCAACTTCACAAATGATGCACTGATGGGTTACTCCAATAACAAGTAAGAAAATTGATGTTTTTTTGGAGTAATTTTATCGATTTTTACAGTCGTAGCCATGGACAGTTTTATCTGATAACTGGTTTCAAAGCGCCTTTCGCCAAGACTGCACATCAACAAATGACTGAATAGTTTGTAGGATTTTTATTGTTGATTTGTTGTACTTTTTATTTATTAAATGAAAATGAAATAAAACAATTTTTTATTCTAAATGCAATCTCGCAAATGAAGTGAAATAGGAAATGAGTGATGCTAAAGCTCGCGTGCCATTTTATTACGAAACTGTTAGAACTTTATGTCTTAGACAAGTATAAGTTATTAGCTGCGAAACGGTAATTTAATGAAAACGATGTCTATCTTTTGTAACAAACAAATTTGAATAATATTAATCAACAAGTCAACAAGTAAGCTGAACATTTTTGAAATAATGACGAAAAAAGTCAAAATTGCCCAAATTTAATTTTAATATGCTTTTTAATAGTAGAAATTTTTTATTCAATTAAAAAAAAAGAATAATGTTTTGGTTACAAAAATACGCCAATATTGACATAGTACCGACCAAATACCAAACCACTTATTATGTTTCCATTTTGATTAGAATTTTGTTTGTTAGGTAAATGAAATATTCATAATAATACTACAAAGCTTAAAAGCTTTAATTACTGGAAGCTTTTACAAACGTTGGAAAAATACTGCTAATTATTTGAAGTAGAATATTATATTGTGCAACTACTAATATGCATAATAATTAGTAATCTCAAAAAAAGCTGTGAAGGTAAATAAAATACTACTAATAATTCACAGAGACATTTAAAGTCTAGCAAACTCCGTTAATGTACATTAAATTTCTCTCGCTAATAAATACAATAACTAAAGTAAATTAAATAATGATAGATTAATACATTTATTACAGTTAAATATTGACACCGACAACGTCATTTCGTACTTCTTGTATGGTATTTTTACAAAAACATAAACTGTAAAAAGAAAATAAAACAATCACGATTTAAAAATTTTGCTTCAGTCTTGCTTAGATAAGTAAAAAACTGAAATTTCATGCATTAAAATAACATTTTCTTCAAGATGCTCCGCTTTCTACAAAAACTATAATTCTTTATTAGTTCAGTATTCTACCAATTGTTGATTTGTAATAACTTATTACTAATTTTCTAATAAGTAAAACTTAACGTTTACATAGTTATCTCACAGAATGTTAAGATGTGTATAATTGTCAAATAATAATATAAATAACAAAAAAAAACATATTATGGTACCTTCCGTACTTTGGAACAAGTAAGTGCCAAAAAAACATTATTCAATATATAATTTCGTTTTCTTATTGATAATTTATTTGTAATTGGATCCTTACGTTTTTTACTCAACAGTTATCAGTACTTATCAGTAAAATAGATCCAAAAAGACGTCAACTGCAAATGACAACAACAGCTGCAATCATTAGGATCCGACAATTTAAACAATAAATAATAGAGCAAATCTAGGTGTGATAATGAAAGCTTTCCATTTAGGAAATTGATAGGATATGACATAAACAATGATTACAGAAAACGATCCAATTTTAGTTCTAATAAACGCTATAGTATCCGCCTTGGTATCAACAGCGTTACTTAGCGTTGATTCCTGCATTTTCATAGTATTTTATCATCATAAAACCACCAGCGATGGCACAGTAAAACCGCAGACGTATATTACAAACTCACAAAGTTTAGTTCAAGGTAAAAACAATGCAACCATTCAAATTTTCATCATTGTCCACATCACACGACGGAAAGAGTTCAAGGTAAATGACAATTTTATCAGTGCTAATTAATAAAGTTTAAATCATTTTTGTTGTCCTTGAAGAGGAATTTATAAAAAAATTCATCGCGTGCAATTCGTATGCAAATTTAATTGGAATTAGCATTTCACCCGAATAATCCATTTCTTCCACTTTCAGTGTCAAGTAGGGTAAAAGCGACATGTATTGATTATGGAGCAACAATGGACTACGAATTTTAATAAGGTGATGTTTAACCTTGGTTATTGTAAATGGAGATTTATACCCAAATTATTTTTAACGCACTCTTGGCAATAAAATATGAATAATAAAAAAACTGAAAATAATTAGAGAATATAAAATAAACAGAATTTAGTAAAAAAACAAAAAGAAAGAAAAAAACAGAGAAAAAAACAAAAATATCACTTACAAAAGTTGTGATTTTTCTTCATGTAATTAAATATTAGAGTAAGGAAATAAGAGAATAAAGACAGAAAAAGAAACAGATTACTAAAGTGAGAAGATGGCAAAAAAAAGAGGATTCGTAAAATAGACATAGAGAAATCATATTTTAATTGTTGGAAATAAGAGAATGAAAGAAAAGAAAAAAAACGCGACGGTATGAAAAGATGAAACTGGCAACGAAAAGTAGATTTATGGAGAAGAAACAATAACAACAATTTCAAAATCTTTTGATAAATTAAACAATGAAGGTTTGTAAAAATAATATAACAAAAAAATAACATGATAAAGAAATTACGAAATTATTGGAAGAGAGAAGTTTAGGGTGAAGCTGAGAATATGAGAAAGAAACATAAAACACAAAGAAAATAGGTACATAAGTGATAAAACAGAGGAAAAAGAAGTAAAAAATAATACAAGATAAGGAAGACAACAAAGGAGATAAACACAAAAAAATAGAGTGATATCAAAAATAACTTTTTGAAAAAAATATGAAAAGATAATTTTCAGCAAATGGAAAGAATAGAGAAAAATAAAAATAGTACAAGGAAGATATTGCAGCTGGGAATTTTTTTAGATAAAACATAATCAGATAATATTGGAAAAGATAAATCACTTGAGGATGACCACTTTGTGGTTGAAACGCGTTGTGTTTCAAATAAAAGTTTGGTGTGACGGGCTTATCGTGTTTTTGTTCATCGTTTCCATACCAAGAAGATCCAAGAAGGAGAAGAAAAATGTAGATTAAAAGCAGGAAAAAAATAAAGGTCGAGGAAAAATTTAGAAAAGTTTCAAAAATATTGAAAAGAAATAAAAGGAATAGAAGTGAAACATGGGTAATAAAACGGAGATGTTTATTACTGACATTTCTACCCTCACGTCAAAAATTTAGACAATGACAACTTTTCACATCTTAACAAAATTTTCCCGACAGTTTTGTTCCCAACGTCCTCAAAAACACGTCCAAGTATGCATCCTTGGTGCCGACACACTTTTAGGTCAATCTCTTGCTTTTCTCATCAAACAAAACCCTGCAATTTCTGGCCTACACCTCCAAGGAACCTCAAAAGTAGAATCAATGTCTCTAGACTTGAATCACTTTGACACCAGATGCAAAGTTCATTCTTATTACGATATGGATAGTGTCAGCAAATCCGTCAAGGTATTTCCCCAAATTAATAATGAGAAAATAAGGTAGAGATGTTTTTTAGTGTGCCGACATTGTGGTCATGCTGGGTCTCAACACCAGCACCAGCAAAATGTCCATACCAAAACTGGTCATGGCCGAAGGCGTCCGAGTGGCCAAACTGGCTGAAACCTGCGCCAAATACGCCCCAAGAGCCGTCATCCTTGTTGCAGTAACTCCCATTTCGGTCACTTTGCCCATAGTTGCTGAAGTGTACAAACAATCCGACTGGTACCATCCTGGTAGACTTCTGGGTTCTGCTGCTTTGGCTGAAGTGAAAGCTAATGCAATTGCTGGACATTACCAGAATTTGGATCCCCAAATGGTCCACGTGCCTATCATAGGAGGACCAGATTTGGACTGTGCTATTCCTCTTTTTTCGCAAACGCAACCCGTGGGAATGGCGCAAAAAGATGCAGATAAGTTGATGGAAGAATTTAGAAAGGAAATTCCGCAACCCACAACGAGTCACGCAGTGGGGCTCAACAGGATGATCACAGGGATTGCGACGGGGATTAATGGAGATTATAATGCCAATGTTTTGGCGTTTGTTCGAACAAACATCATCAAAACATGTCGGTGAGAAAAAAATATCACTCGAATAGTTTAAGAAAGACTCACTCACAAATCAAATTATCGTATTTGACTCTCTGGAGAAAAAATAAAATTGTGCTGTTTAAGAAAAAATAACTGCTTTTACAAGATCAACCAAAGTTTTTCTGATTTTCAAGGATTTTGTTAAAGAAAATCGGAAATTTAGACTCCAAAATGTGTTATTTTTGAGATATACAGAGTGCGCCAGAACTCGCGCCCCAGAGAAAATTTTCAAGTAAAGTAAGGTACCAGGAACATGAAAAAAATGTTTAAAAAATTCTATCTGTCAAAAAATTTTGACATTTATTTTTTGACATTTGACATTTTTTTTATATCTATTTAAGGATACTGATGATCACGATCGTAAAATAGACAGGTCTGGAAACTCGTGTTTCAAAATTGAATTAAAAAATTTGGATCTCAGTAGGTTTTGAGGGCAACTATACCCGTGGTGCCTCTATCGGATACTACGTTAATTACTGCATATTTATGAACGAAAAATGACGTCTCCGTGCGTAAATAATGTCAAATATTAAATTAGCGCTTGTCATAATTTGTTAGGTTACTGTAGGCTTGTCAAAATTTTTAAAAAATGTGCAAAAAACACCTTAATAACTTTTAAACAAATCTGCATCTTTTAGAATAACGTTCATGGTATCGAGTCAATCCATAGCATTTATTAATTGCCACCTTACCATCTAGTAGAAAAAAAGAGTAGAAAACATTGCTGTTATTGATCTTTTCACAAGATGCTACCTATGATGATAATAATGCAAGACCTTTAAAAAAGACGTGTAAAAGAAGTATTATTGAAGAAATAAAACAACAAATAAATAATGTTATAGTAAGTAACTTTTATACGTAAGTTATCCAATTCTAACTAATAATGTAGTAGCGATCAAGGTTGGTGTAAAATTTACAATAGAACGATTTTGTAAAGACAATCTTCCAAGATTTATAAAAATGGTGTTTTTTACTTGGGCAGAACCCACCTCGTGTACAGCAAGCTTTTTTGAATAATAAAGAAAACCAGTCACAATAAAGACAATTTCAGGATCTATTTTTGTGGTGAGCGGGCACTTTGTAAACAGAGTAAAGAAATAAATAATTTTTTAAAAACTTGATACATTTGTGTACTCATTTATCTATAGGACTTTAAAGACAAAATATTACTTCTTAGACTGATACAAATATGTCAAAACTCAAAACTCAAAACTCTAGTCGATTAAATGCTTCAATGTTAAATGTTTTAATGTTTTCTCTCTAATTTTGTATCTTTTTTCTCAAAATGTAATTGACAGCTTCTGTCTTTTCTTTGCAGTACAGTATTTGGAGTTTCATCCCTTGCCCTTGGGTCCAATTTTTCTTTCACCCAAAAAAAACCCAATTGTTTACTACTTCATTTAGTGGTGCAATGGAAAACAGCACAAATTCTGGGCATCTGCAGAAGTGTTTAGTGTAAACAACATATAAAAACCAAATATCTACCTTTTTGATTGCCAAAAACATTGAATGACCAACTCAAAACCAAAAAAATTTTTTAATATTTAATTTAGATAAAACAGAACGAAAGATAACAAGTATAAATCAAAGAAAACCATCCTAAAACACCGAAAAACTGTGCATAAGCGACAAAAATATTTAGAAACGTTGGAAATAGAGAAAAATTCACTTTTTAAATTTGTGGTTAGCTGCCAAAATGCTGTCAAACAGTAAATTAATAAAATCACCACGTGAAGGCGCCACGGGTATAGTTGCCCTCCATAACCACCTGCGATTCAGAAAAAATAATTTAATTTTCAAACGTATTTATAAATGGAGTTTCCAGACCTGTCTATTTTACGATCGTGCTGATGATCTTGCATATGTTTTTTTACAATTATTTAGTAAAGGGACAAAAATTTTGCCACTAAAAGCCACAAATGACATTAAACAGAGTTACAATTTAGGATACAGCTTGCTTGTTTGCCTATAGCAAAAAAAACTTGGAAAATTATTTTTCCAACAGAAATAAATAGAGTCAAAGTGCAAACTTTAAACCCTCATAACTTTGAAATTTTTATAGATAAAATTTTTTTAACATTTTTTCCATGTTCCTAGTATCTTACCTTATATGGCATTTTTCTCTGGGGCGCGAGTTCTGGCGCAGCCTGTATTTATTATATAATAATAAATAGCAAAAATTGGAGACATAATACTCATACGAGTATTTCAATATATTTCGTTCCAATTGACTAATTATTTAATAAAACTTGGACATGTTTTTTTATTAATAAACCAGAAAAAAATGGGAATTAATAATACTTAATTAAATATTTTGATTTGTTTTGTTTAATCTTATTGAATGAAAATTAATTAAAAATCTTCTTAATTTGGTAAAAATTCGCACAAATTAAAAAAAACGTTTTTTTTCTTGAATTCAGTATATTTTTAACACACATCTTGTTTTGTTTAAAAGATTAAAAAGTAAACCAATTCAAAAAACATTATTTACATAAGCTTATCACATCCAATTTAGTTAACAAACTTTTTTTATTATTTTTTTAAAACTAAATTAGCCCGGCGCATCCACCATTTAATTCAAATTGATTATTTCTTGCTTTGAAGGCATTTTTATCCCACACAATAAATGCAAAATCAGGGTCTATTGACTGATATTTGTGTATGGTTTATATAGCTGTTTATTTATTTTGAAAGAATTTTCTAAACCAATAGCAATAATGTAAAATAACGCAAAGTTAAATTATTGCTATATTTCTTGTTTCGTAGTTGTTAATTTTTTTCTAGCAAAATAGCAGTTTGTGATGGAAATGAAAAACATTATAATTTTAATAAAAAAAAATAAAAAAAACTCTCAAAAATATTCTAAAAATACATCAAAACAAAAAAAAATGGAAGCGAAGAAAGTTTGAATTTGAACTGAAAATCAGCTTTGTTTTTTATTTTGTACTCAATGTTAAAGAGTGCTTTTATCTACTAATTTTAGTAGATAAATTGGTCTTTAATTTTTTGTTTAACATTATTTTTGATTCTAATTTTAAACCTATTCAGATAAGACTTTTGTTTTTTTTTATTTTTCCTGTTATTATCCTGATCCATCAATAAAAAGCCATTTTGGCTTTATCTGAATTTTTTTAAAGTGTTGTAACGTTCTGGTCCAGAAATAAAAATCCATTTTGAGATGTCGAAAACATGATAAATTTGAATAAGATTTTTGGCGCTTTTTCAATGATTTTTACATGTGCCAATTGGCTTGGTCCAGAAACAAAAAGTCATTTTGAGATGTTTAAAAACAACGGATTTTGTAAGGTTTTTTTGAGTGCTTTTAAGGGAATTATGTTTGATTTTGGATGTTTTTCAACGGTTTTCTCATGTGCCCAATTTCTGGTGGTCTATAGATTTTTGAGTATTTTTGGAGCGCATAAAAATTCATGGTTTTATGTCTTTTTCGATTGTTTACTTTTGAGGAAACAGCTAAATTTGTAAGATTCTACCCTGTTTTTAAGACGCCAAATATCCTGGTACCAACCCTTCTTGATTTTGTGTTGTTTTTCCATTTTTTTTTGCATGCGCCAAATGGTTTGGTCCAGAAATAAAAAATCATTTTGAGGTGTTTAAAAACAAGGTATTTTGTTAGTTTTTTAGGGTGTTCTTGAAGTAATTTTGCATATTTTGGGAGATTTCAACAGTTTTTTCGTGTGCCCAATTTTTGTTGGTCTATAGATATTTAAGTACTTTTGAAGTGAATAAAAATTAATGCTTTTTCAAGGGTTTTAGGCCTTTTTCGCTTGTTTGCTTTTGGGCAAACAGCTAAATTGGTAGGGTTTTATTCTGTTTTTTAAGTCGCCACATGCCCTGGTCCAAAAGTAACATTTTATATACTAACGTACTTTGTTTAACTACTGAAAAAAGTCCATTCGTGACTAAATAACTATTATTTGAACTTTAATCAGTGTTTTTCGTCAAATTATTATTGCTTTTAATGTGAATAGAATTTGCTCTAATTAGTTGCTGATCATCATTTTTGTTTACATTGCTTAAAATCTTTGTTTATTTACAATGTGTTTTAATCAAATCTTTTAACTCCATCAATTAATTCCAGAACAAAGACACAAAACGAATTTGCCTTCTTTTAATCTAGTTAGTGGAAATTTAATTTCAGTTTGCAATTTTCATTACTACAAAGCAAACTTCAATTCATCAAGCCTGGGTCGATACAAATGCATTTTTTGTTTCAGATATTTAGTGTGCATCGTAAAAATGGGAAAAATGGGCATTTTGCACAATTACGGTCTGCAGAAACTGCGCAGAAATGAATTGATTACATTCGAAGAAACGTGCTTACAACTCAAAGCACGGGAAGAAATGGCTTCAGATCTAGTAAATCGTCAAGATAAATGTGCCCTTCCTGCATTCATGATCCGAGAGATAGAAAGGGAAAAAATCGAAAAACTTGGGATCATACGATAATAACTGTGTAATGGCGTCAATAAATTCAACTGAAATTTTACTTTTATTCAGTCCAATTTCGTAAAGTAAGTCCAACAAATCCCGCCAGACCTTCATGAATGAGTAATTGCTAGCACGATGAAAAATTAAGGTCGAACGTGGTGTTAACTTAAGCGCTATAAATTTCCCCAACTCTCGAGAGATGCCCACGTTTCGGTATAGAAAAAAAGACGGATTGCAACTACTTACAATCTTGTTGTTGAGGTGTTGCAGTTCACGTTCGGTGAGACGTCGTTTGGCGTTTTCCTTCCGGCGACGTTTGTATTGGTTGTACTTGTAGAAGAGGTACATGCCAGGAAGTGCCAGTACCACGAACGGCTTCATCAAGGGGCTCGACATCGGGCCTTGAGGCATTTTGTTTAATTATCTACAAATAAAATTACAACGGAGCTTGTTTATACCAACATTTCGAATAATTTACTAGATTTTATATGCCTACTTGAGTATTAAATACATTTCAACCTCGATTATCCGGCACATTATACAGGATGCGCCAGAACTAGCGCCCCAGAAAAAAATACCATGTAAAGTAAGATACCAGGAACATGGAAAAAATGTTAAAAAATTCTATCTATAAAAGTTTCGAAGTTATGAGAGTTTAAATTTTGCACTTTGACTATTTATTTCTGTTGAAAAAATACTTTTTCAAGTTTTTTTGCTACAAGCTATTAGAAGAGGAAACAAGGTTTTTATTGGCAAAATTTTTGTATTTTTACTAAATAATTTAAAAAAAAAAACATATACAAGATCATCAGTCATTAAATAGATATGAAAAAATGCCAAATGTCAAAAAATAAATGTCAAAATTTTGTGACAGAATTTTTAAACATTTTTTCCATGTTCCTGGTATCTTATCTTACTTGAAAACCCTGTATACAGGCTAATTCAACAGTGTTGGACCCCTCGAATGGTGATAAAAGACTTTCAGTTAAGCATAACAATGAAGACAATTTTTTTTTCAAGCTTTCGTTTCTGAAAAAAACATAACTGACAGAAGATTTTCTAGTTTGTTATGGTCCGAGAATTTTTAATCACCCTGTACAAAAATATGTAGTTTATTCACAATGATGACATTTTAACAATCAATATGAAATAAGACAGTCAGGTTGGTAAGTGGTCATTTCCTTATCAGTTTTCGGGTAGGAAAGTAGCCATTTTACAACCTATGTTTTTTAAATTTTCTGTTGCTCGTTCAGCAATTTCCCTGAATTTAGGAACAAACAAATACTTTGTTTAATAAAAACGTAAAATGCAATTTCAAAATATTCACAATATTGACAGCTGTCGTCTTTCATGTATGATCACGAAACATCCGATGTCCGTATAGTTGAGGTTTTACTGTAAAGTAGTAGTATTTTTTGCAGTAAAATGTTAGCACACGATAATGAAACAGTATTTCTTTAAGCTAAAACTTTTTATTTAAACTTTCACATTTTGTCGAACTTTTTAAAACATTTCCTCAAGGGAAATTAATGAAATTGATGACTCACCTTTTCTTTTCACTACAACACACTTTGTGGATATAAATTTGTCAAAAGTTAGAAAACAGAAACAGGGGAGGTGTATGGAAACAACTCAATTATTTTCACTTACAACTTTCAATCCAAGAATAAATCTACTAATATAAGGTGATCAAAATTGATTATTTGAGTAGGCAACAAAGTTAGAAGCATTTTCTGTTTGCGACACTGCAATATCAACAAGATTGTACCTACTATTTAAAATTTTATTGACGTATGAAATGATTGAATTTTTAAATTTGCTATAAAAGTGTAATGTTTAAAACATAAATAATATTCAATTAAAATTAAAATAAATTTTAGATATATTATTTCAGCTTGTATCTTTCTAGTTTGTTACAGGGAATGTGACTTGATTAAAAAAAAATGTTATACAAAATATAATGTATACTCTTTTAACTTGTTCTAACTTATTTAAAAATATACATTTCCTCCCAACAAAAAAATCCTTCGTTTTTGACAACTTTTATTGCGTCAAAAATAAAATAAATACCGATTTTTACTCTTAAAATTGCAATTGAATGAACTGCATATTTACAAATTGTTTGACAAATTTATCACTTTTTTATGTTATTATTAATTTAATTTGTTGGAAGGAAAGTTTTTTATGCATATCTGGAACAAACATCATCGTTAATCCTTTAAATCCTCAGGATCAAAATAGTTTATACTCTTGAATCATAAATAACCACTTTTAAACTTCCTTTAATTTTATCTTAAATTACAAACATAATACACGTAAAACACGACTTTTATTCAATTTTTCAACAAAAATTTTTAAAACCTCAATAAATCAAAAATTTTGATTTTATATAAACAAATCGCATAAGCAGTACGAGTAAGTGAATATAATTCGGTTAATTTCATTCTAATTGGGTTGGTTTTTAAGAAAAATCTCGTTCTTCTGCATTAGGCCGATACAAAAAAACTTAATAAAAATCCCAAACTTCACTTTCAAAAGAAATCCATTTCGAGTATCAATGACTTTGAGTTAACAACAGAATTAAAAGGATTTTGTTATTCAGCAGTTTTCAAAAGTGCAACCGGATTGATATATTGCAAGATTATAATAGATTATGTTAAAGTCAAATTAAGTATTAAAGTTAAAAAATAAATTCTGAATATTGCCAATTCAAACAGTCATTCTGGAAATAAGGTGATTGGAAAACGTAATGCATTCGTAAAGTTAAATTATGAATTGAAGTAAAAAGGTTTATGATATAGTTCGGTTTGTGAGGCATTTAATCCAAGCTTATGGTAACCTAAAGTTCACATTTCGGTTTTATGATTCTTCTGACATTTTTATTTCGGTTTATTACTTTAATACTAACCCAAACGTGACTTATTCTCCTTACAAAATACATTAAGAAATGAAACAAAGATTATTCAACATGCAAATTTTACAAATTTCACGAATTTTATTCTTTCGATTAAATAACGATAAGTTAACACCAGGTGTGTTTTAAAAAAAAAAAATCAAATGAGGTAAAATATGAGAATCTTTCAGGCCACCTCACGTGTGCATTTTCACTGATTTCTGGTAAACATAGTTAAAAACCATTCTTCATTGTTACAAGCAGATTTGAATGTGCCTAAAGATTAAAGAAAACTAACTAATAGTATAATTAAACATCTCATTTCTAGCAATAACAATCGTCACAATTGATTGAACCCAAACCTCTTAAAAGTTTAAATTAAAACTTCCTTTAATTTAAAATAGCACTTTAGAGAATGACATTTTTAATAAAAACCTAGACATGCACACATCACGTGATAGAAGAAAAATTCGCGTGTGTCTAAAACATTACGTGAGTCCTAAAGTTTGACTAAACAAGTAAATTCACTGAATTTAATTAAAAGTTTTAATCGGTCTTCCATTGACCAAGTACCCATCCAAACTGTACTACTTGATAAAATAGATTGTTGACAACAGGTGAAAATTTTCACATTCTCAATTTAGTCAAAATAAATAATATAATACATATTATACAAACGCCACAAGAGAATCAGAAAATTATGGCGTCTTGCTCAATTATCAAATCTTGTATAATACAAGGCAATAAACAATGATTATAAGTTTCCTAATTTAAATCCGATTATAACACTACGAAATCAAGATTTACTGCATAGCATTTTGACTATTTAAAGTCACAGTATAACAGTAAAATATGTTCATAGCTGTGATTATCAGTGTTGGGATAATGAATAAAGTCGTTGTTGCTTTTAGTCTGGTGGTATGCTTGGAATTATGAGTGGAGACTTGTGGTGCAAGCGCTAGAAGATTTTGTATTGTTCTCGTACTGAAATGGGAAAATCTACCGAATAGAATAATATTTTAAATATGTATCTTATTTTTAAAAAGGAATCTCATACTCATATTAAAAAAGACAATTATATGATAAAATTTTAATATTAATTCTACTATTTGTATTCAAATATTCGTTTAGCTTGAGTCGTAAAATATAACTTTTATTTGGTAATTTACAGTGTAAAAGACAAAAAAAAAGAAAAATGCCAAGTAAGATAAGAAACCAGGAACATTAAAAAAACGTTTAAAAAATTCTATCTGTCCGAAATTTTTGATATTTATTTTTTGACACTCGACATTTTTTTATGTCTATAAGTACCGATAATCTTGTATAGGTATATTTTTTCATAATTATTCAGTAAAGGAACAAAAACTTTGTCAATAAAACGTACAAATAACGAAACATAGTTAGAGTTCAGGATACAGCTTCTTTGTTTCTTTTTATAACAGTGTGTAGCAAAAGAACATGTAAAATTATTTTTGCAACAGAAATAAATAGTCAAAGTGCAAAATTTAAACTCACATAACTTCGAAATTTTTATAGGGAGAACTTTTTTAACATTTTTCTCATGCTTCGGGTAACTTATTTTACTTAGAATTTTTCGTTTTTTGTCTTTTTACAAAACACCTTGTATGTTGTTATTTTATAAATAACTTTTCAATTTACATTGATCATTCGAAAAAATCATTCAGCAAAATTATGATATAATTTTAAATGGAATTCCAGGTAAGTTCTAAAATTGTTAGAAATTTTTTGAGGTTACTATACAGTATGTCTCCGGATTGAGTTTACAAGAGGAAAAAAAAATTTATCCTTGATTTTACGCCAAAACTGCAAAGGAAAACCATTTTTTCTTCACCTAAAACGAGCAAATCTGTACTTAAAACTTCATTAAAGAAAAGTTAATTTTTCTTTAATTTCCAACTTAGGATAATTTTTCTCTGCTTTTTAATAAGTCCTATTACATTGGCAGTTTTATTTATTTGACAACTATATGTCACTTTGACAATTAATTTATTAATTAAATAATGATATTTGTTAAAATTGTTAAAAATAACTTTGGTTTTTGTCTTAAAGCTTTCTTTGAGTTGCTATTTATAAAGATATGTTTTTCACAAACATTTTTGTTATTTAACTTGCGTAAACTTATTTGTCACAGTGACATCATTGTCAAAATAATAAAAGCGACAATATGATAAGACTTAAAAAGCAGAGAAAAATGAACTTTTCTTTCTACTGAGTTAAAATAATAAAGTTTTAATTACAGATTTGCTCGTTTCAGGTAAAGCAAAAAATGTTTTTCCTTTGCAGTTTTGGCGTAAAATCAAAGACGCTTATAAACAATAAACAAGACGTGTTAGTATCGGAATTTGTGTTTAAATTTTGAAAGTAAAAAAACTGCAAAGAAAAAGTTAGGTTATATTTATGTTACGCAATACGTTCTTCTGCTCACATGGCACAAAATAATTTAAGAAAAAAAAAATTAAAAGCCACAATAAATATTACTTACATAAAGATTTCAACCATACCTACCTATA